ACAACCACCAGTTACTCTCCCCCACAGGAAGAGACTATTGGATGTGTGATCAGGGGTCAGTTAGGGTTACCCTCCCCTGATCTCTGAGGGAAAAAGCTTCTTCCTCTGCTTCAGTCTGGGGTTCTTGCCAAAGCACTGAGTCCAAGTTAAGCAGCCAGGAATGATTTGGTTTCTGTCAGGAACTGCATGAGGATATCCAAATTGATTAAATCTTAATTGCAGCCATATTTTTCTGGGTCAAAAAAAAAAAATACGAAGAGGATGACAGCTTTCAGAAGTGGGCTTGTAAACACAAGACTAGTAGAAGCCCCACAGATTGAGCCCAGGCCAGTTTACACAGAACCCTTTGCTCAGCCTCAAGCCTCATAAAGAAGATGTGTTCATGGTAAAATGCATTTACATACCATTAGAAAGAAAGTGTGCTTGAAAATGTGATTGCCCTGGTTTGAAAAATAAAATGCATTGTTCTCATTTGCAAATTTAGGTCACCTTCCCTGGGGTGGAGACACACCTTTAAAATAGCAATCGTTTCTAAAGAACACACATATTTAATTCATATCCTCTAAGTTAGTTGGGGGCATTAAAGTCCTCCAAAAGGTGTTCAGGGAGAGTATATCTTGAAAATGTATAGGTAATGAATCTTACAAGAATTGTATTCAAAGTGAGAATACAATGCCTTTGACATATAAACAAAACCATGGGTTTTCTAAAGTGCCTCTGACTTCAATCATCTAAAGAACTTTTAAAAGGAAATTTAAGTCCAGTGAGGCTTTATGGCCCTTATATTTAATCTGCTAATGGCATCATTTCAAAAGAAAAAAAATAGCAAAATATACAGTGCAAGTGCACACATTTAGACTGTAAAAATTAAAATATATTGTCTATTTTATTATGCACAACAGAGCCAAGGGCATCAGCCAACTGACCTGATAATCCAATAAACTGTGTAGAAGGCATTTATGCCAAGATAAGAGCTCAGGGACAGCTGCATAGTTAGCTATTTAGCATCACAAACACACTTAGCAGAAGCTACTCAAGGATGGCTGTCACTGGGGCACATTCAGAGGAAGAGCTAACGGGTTGATAGGTTTTGGTTTGAAAGGGAGGCTTTTATGAGAGATTATAAATATTGATTTCACTGAAGGAGTCAGAGCAGTTTACGGGTATGTGTACATAATGCCAACCTTTCCATTTATATCACTGGGCTAGTCCTCAATGGGATCTAAATGTCAAAGTTTTTCAGGGCAATTTTGAAAGACCCTTTGGGAACCAATTTGGAGATTATTTCTTTCTTCTAGAAGGACTTGTGCTTTTGAGAACACAAATGATAATTTGTACACAAGAGACCATTCTAATGTGTTTTCTGACTTCGATGGAGGCACCCTCTCATCCATAGAGAAGGCCACGTTTCATTTAGGCCTCTTATGACTGTAAGTTGATGACCCACAGGACTATACACCAGAGGATGGGAGGTTTTTCAAGAAACCCAGAGCGCTCTTGCCCTCAAACACACTCAATGCCCAAAAGAGAATCGAAGAGGGAGAATGATTATGTCAGTGCACTAACATTTTACCCAGTAACATACCCAAGTAGTTCAGTGTTCTTATGAACAGTGTACTGGATTCAATGTGACACACAATGCATTTTTCTTCATGACAAGGCACTAAAGAACTGTGCCTCTCTTCTACTGTAATTTGGTTACTTCTGACATAAACAGTAAAGTTGGCACTATTTTCTAAACAATGAGAATCTCTGACAGCCTACATTTCTGTTAGATGAACTGTGAAAGTATGAATTCCTCCAAACAAGCTCTATATGCAGCACAAGACATACAATCAAACACACATGTGCACACACACACACATGCACACATACACACACACACACATATGCATGCACATGCATGTAGAAGACTCCATTACAGGCAAGGGCAAATATATAATGATGTCAACACAGATAACTTCCCACACATGAATTGACACGGATCAGGTGGTCTTGCTTTAGAGATGGAATTAAGTTTCCCTAGTCATTCACAGACTTATGAATGAGTGAAAGAATTTATGACTTACTCTAACCAGTAACCATATGTTAAGGTACAAAGTGCGTAGGTGAAATAGAATTCTTGTGCATTTTTTGTGGGACTGTAAAATAGAGCAACTGTCATAAAAACATATTTGAAGGTTTCTCATAAAACTGAAAAAAAAATAAAGCATGATTCTACAATCCTATGTCTAGTATTTACCACGACAAGCTAAAATTAGTATGTCTGCATTTCCATGTACATTGCAGCACTGTCCATGATTGCTGAGTTACACAATCAGCCACAGTGAATGGCAGCGATGAGAAAGGAAAGAACATGTGGTACATATGCAAAATGGATGCTGTCTGGATTTGAAAAGACAGAAATGCAGCCAACGGTGAAATTGTGGATAGATCTTGAGAGCAGTGTTGAGTGGAAGCAACGGGGCACAGAACAAACACTGGCTGTGCATGCTTGCTCACACCTGTAATCCCAAGACTTGGAAGGATGAGGCAGGGGAATTGAAGCAAGCTCAAGGCCAATCCGAGCTACACAGAGAGTTCCAGGGCATTATGGGCTGCAGAGGAAGACCTTATTGTCTCAAAATCAAAATTTTAAAATATGCAGAACAAAAAGACAAACAGTTCATGTTCTCACTTAGGTTTGGATTGTAAAGCAATCAGACTCAATAGGGAGCAGAGTAAAGGTTAATGGAGAGAAGGTGCGGGGAAGGAAGTGGTCACAGACTACCTGAGGAGTTTTCTTTAACTGAAATCTGCCACAGCATGGTTAATGCTGTTAATAAAAGCATCTCAAAGTTGCTGAGAAAATTACAAATGTTCTCATCACAAAATGGTTGAAATGAGTGATGTCTGTTATACTGATTTAATCACTTATATTTTAGTCACAAGACATAACATCATTTCATCCCATTAATATATACAGTTATCATTTATCAATTTGCAATAAAAATAAAGTTTAAGAATATAGGAAGTATGCATTGGGGTTACTTTTTCGCTTGCACATGTGTGCCAGGTGTCTGAAATTTCTATGTATAAGAATAAATTCCATGATAAATTCTATTTCTGCTCATCAAAGTCTAGGATTCATTTCTGATCATCACAACACCAAATGACTTTGGCTACAACCACACTACCTTTTTGAATTCAGAACTTAGAAACATCCCTTAAGGAGGCCTCCTTTGCTTAATTTTCACTTACCAAATTCATCTAATTTATTCTTGGACTTGAATTTAAGTTTTAGCTAATGCTGCCTTTCAAAGTTATGAGTGCTGTGTCTTAGGTAAGTACGCACATTTCCTCCAGGTGAGGACAGACAGACTTCTGCCATCAATTCCTTCCTTCTCTCACATTTAATAGATGTGTTTCTGTGCATTTGCCCTCTGCACTGAGAGGGATGCTTGACATCTGCGCTCTAGAGAGACCTGCCACTGCTATATAGCTTCCTCATTTATAAACCAAGAATACTAAAATCAATGATTTCTAAAGGCTCAGCTTTCATTGACTGTTTTGAAGAAGATGTGATGATAAATATAGATGCTCATAAATATGAGTGCTTAGCAGATTTTTTTTTCTATTTTAAATACCTGAAAAATTCCCCAGAGATGGTCAAAGTGTCTTCGTGGAGAGTATTCAACTGAAAGTCTCCTTCCTGACTGTATACCTCCTCTATTTCTTTGTTTATAAGGTTTATTTCTGCTGCCGTTGTTCCATTTTCATTATTTCACTCTTCTCTACACTGATCATGTACAACTATGAGGGCTCATCACTGTCTTAATGCTATTTTCACAATCCTTTGCTTTGTTTTCCATATAAGGCTTACATCTTAAGAGAAGGTGTGATGGCCATTATTTTGCAATTAAGAAAAAAAGACACTCATATTAACTCTGCCTAATTTTACAACTTAAGTACTTCTTGGTTGATTGGTAACTTTTTAGTAAGTAATCTGTCTTTTATAAGACTTTGGGGAAATAACTCACGATATGATATTATTCTTGAAATAATGTATGATGCTCAAGTCTGAACACTCCCCCATACATCCTAATTAAACATGTAAGGAACTGACAGATGTTATCTCTCTCCCATTAACAATGTATATGTTATCGAAATCAAAATGGTGTTAGGAGGAGAGAGATTAACAACAGAATTAGCAATAGAAGCCAGTGGAGCTATTCTGTTAAAAGGTTCCCAATAAAATGATATACATCACCATGTGAGATACATTTTACTGCCCTTTTGATAAAGACCTTTTAACTGGCTTCATCTCAAGTGTCATCTATTAAATTGATTTTAAAATCATCAGTCCTAATCTACTAATTGGTATGCAGCTGTTCTTCATTGTAATTCTTTAAGTTTAGACACTGGATGAAAGTGGCTGAAATATGCTCTAGTCAACTCTGGCTGCTTAGTGTGACAGTTTTATTAGACAGCTATATGGAAAGGTATCCATCAGGATGTCACTTGTAAAAATTAGGCATGACTTCTGGGAAAATGTGTAGAAAAATAGTCAAAATGGATTTGGAGAGCTGTAGAAGAATTGGCAAGATTGACAGCAATGAAAATTAGGATAAAGACTTGGGCAAAAGAAAACTAGAACATCACTTCTGGATTGTTAAAGATTAGATTATGAATATGTTATCTTAAATTAATTGATGGTCTATTTTATTACTTATGTTTAAACAATGTAAGTATGTACACATTAAACAATATCAAATTATACTTCTATTTAAAAATCAATTAGACATAATTTTGTAAATATAATTATTGCTAAGGGTACCAAGTTGGTTTCCTCATTACGTGAGATCAGGCAAAGCTTCTATTTCTTACTCTGCTATCTTAGTGTCTGCCCTTGTTACTCTTTCAACATTGTCAGGTTCTCTGTAAGAGAATGAGTTCATTTTCAACCAGAAATAATAACTCGGGTAGACTGAACTTTTTGTATGCTTGTTGATTCACTTTACCTGATTCTTGAGATCCAGTTTGGGACATGGTCGACCTCCACTATAAGGTTTTTCTTTTAGCCATTTAGATCGAATTCTTACTCCAATCCCACAAGACGAACTGCAAGAACCCCAGCTGGACCAGTCACTTAGCTTGCAATCAAATGGGCAGGGGATGACACATTCTTCTTGAACATAACCTGTAAGAAAAAAATCTTTCGGTGAATACAGGAAAGTATCAGATGCAGAAGTCACATTCTCTACTTCCATCCTTACAGACTGGATTTCTCATTACTGTTGCTATGCTGTCTTCAACACATTTCCATTTGTAAGGAGAGCAAAGTTGGAAGAGACAGATAAATGTGGTTACACCTGGATCCAGTTTTGCCATTCTGTTTACTTCATTCTGAATGGAAGAAAGAGCAGAAGCAGGATGGAAGCAGTTCAGTGCAAACAATGTAATCATTTTCCCTCAGTGAGCCTTGTGTTCTCTAGCCTCAAATTCTTAGAATTCTCCATCTGGAATAGGTAGCATATGCCAGTGAACCTTTCATCTACTTGTTACTTGCAAGCTTTCACTAATGAAGACATTGATTCTCTCTTCTAAGTATTGTAACTTGAAGGTAGGAGAGAAATGAGAAAGACCACTGTACCACTGAAAGTAGAAAAAATGATAACCTGCTGCCTATTGTGAGGGCATGTAGAACTGAAGAGCCATGGGTGAAGTGGGCTGAAGAGCGCCTCAGAAGTACCAGCTTTGTTTGGTCATTCTTGCTCCTGTCTCTGGCAGTTCCTACTTCAAATGAATTCTTCCCAGCTACTGAGCTACTCAGGCCCCTGCCTGGCTTTCCCAATTTCCACATGTCTGTCATAGAATTTGCTCATCTCTTCCTTGAGGTTTTCTGAGTGCTGTGAGTTCTGCATTCAGCACAATGTCACCAGACCCCAGCACCTGGTTCTACATTCTTAGGAATTCACTGCCCCCTGCCTGTCACAGGACCTCATTCTCATGACTTCAATGGCCACAGTGGAGGTCACTTGCAGACATAATTCATGTGTCAGTTCAGTAGACTGATATGAGTTATGAATGGAGATGACCCTGGTTGTGCCTGACTCCTCAGCTCCAAACTCTGAAGAGAGGACTGGTGCCTTTATGCAAATGGAATTAAAAGTCCACATGAAGATGAACTCTGCTGAAATCCTAGAGGAGCTCAGAGGAAGAGCTTTCCCTGACTGAGCCTGGGATGAAAGCTCAACTCCAGACCACCCATGACACCCTTAAGCAGAGAGCAGGGAAGCAGGGTCCAGACTCCTAACCCGAGGAAACAGTGGCATAAGAAAGGCTGCTTTGAGTTACAGTCTCTGTAGCATTTGGTACATGGTGGTCAACACCCAAGGGATGACCCTAGCTGAAAATTTCATATCTTTCAATCATTCGGAACTATACCAATAGCCATCATCAGTCCTGGGTCAAAAATCACAAACATTTCTGCTGAACCACATCTCCTTTGCCAGACCTGATTCACACTGGGCTCCTGGGATGGCCTAATACTGTTTGACTTGTGTCTTTCTCCTAATTGTTCTCTCCTTTTTTTTTTTTCTGTATTTGTCAATAACCCTGAGAAAAGGGTACTTTTCAAAATATGAAATATTGATGTTGCTCATCTTTTTAAAACCTGGTGGTTTTCCAATGCTCCTTTAAGAAAAGGGTGAATTTATGTTACAAAAGCAAAACAAAATGAGCTTTCTTATGAGATGTTCAAAGCAAAGGTCTGTGGTGACCTCTATGAAATAGCTCTGTTTGACCAAGGTGCACCATGTACCAGCTCAGCCTTAATCACAAAGGATGGAGCTAAGGAAGCTGCAGCTTTTAAAAACCCCAGGGTGATTCTAACTCAGTGGCAGTCTGGGAACCACCTCAAGGTTGCTATTTCTCCTCTCCTTCCACCTCCAGTCACTTGAATTCTACCTTTACAAGGTCCTCCAGACACACCTTTTCTGATGCAAAGTAAGTCTTTCTTTACAGGCTAGCATCCTTAGTTCTGATTTCAGCTTCTCTCCTCCATTATGACCAAACATCTTTTCCCAGAAACCTTCTGCCATGCCAGAGGAGAAGCTTTCAGACTTTGGTCAGCCCTGCAGTCTTCATTCTCTGTGCTTAAAACAGGACTACCATCAGAGCAAGGAAAGTGCTGGATGTATACTGAGGGCACTTCATCACATACTCTGTCTTAGTCTGGTATTCCAACGGTCTGGGAATTCTTCTGAGTTTCCTTCTCTTTCACAACAGACTTTTCAAACCTTCTCCATTTTCTTTTCACTTAAAGAATTACTCCTCCCATGCTGGAAACAACAGAAAGACTGGAGCAAAATGCCTTCAATTTCCTATGATACCATCCATACCCAATCCAGACTGTTTACTGCTTTCTTCATATTCAAATGGAAAGGTGCTTGCTTTGTTATAGAAAGCACATTCTTCAAACTCCATCTGAACCTGATTTCTCCAGGTCTTTGAACTCTTCAGATCTCTTGTATCTTTCTTCCTCTCCTCTCCTCCCCCTCACTTTCTTTTTCATTATTCTCTTTCTTTTCCTCTCTCTCTTTCCCCCACCTCCCTCTTTCCTTCTCCTTCCATCTTTCTGTCTTTGTCCTTCTGTCACTGTTATTCTTTCTCTCTCATCTTATTCATATGATTATATTTTCCTTACAACATTATTAGAATGGATTGAAGTTATCTAGGCAACACTTGTCAATAAATGAACCTACTACATTTCCTGATGACACAAAAATTCCTCTGGAATTGGAATAAAAAAAACTCCCATTAAGAATGCTAAAAAATAATTTTGCTGTTTAAAAGTCTTAATTCTGTAGTCATTTCTAATGAGTTTTTATAAACAACCAGATATTAGCAACATAGCCAAAGTCACCCCACTTATTAAAGAGATGCCCCACATACATTATATAACTTACAGAAAAAACAAGTCACAGAGTAACTTCATTGGCCACCAAACTAAAAGAATAGGATAGAAAATTAGCATTTATCCTTATGACATGTAGACTTCAAATATGAATTTCCAGACTATTTCACATAAACCTTAAATATCTGAGTGTCTATGTATGCCCTATTTTAAAGCACATTTTCAACTAGACATCCTTATAATTGAGTGAGACTTTAAATTATCTTCATCTGGGCAGCACATGGAAGGAGTTTAATCAGCTAGCCTCTAGCTGTAGCTTTTGTACTCTTCCAATGATAAAAGGAAAACCCAGAGGATCCTCATGAAAGTCAAAGTTATAAATTCAATGAACACAAAATAATTTTGAAATTCAGCAAGGCTAAGCAACAGTGGCATTTATTTTTCAGGAAAATGCCCATGCTAGAGTATATGCCAAAGGGAAGTCCGTAGTGAAAACAATTAATAACTGCATATTCTTATACCTGGCTCAAATTGAAAAGATAAGTTTTACTCTCACACTTAATGCATACAGATTTTTGGCAATCAAGTATGGTGAAATATAACTATCACAATGCTAACCTGCTATATGAGAATTCTATTAGGTAATGGTTAAAACCATAAAAATGTTTTTGAAAGTAATTTTCATAGCATACACGACAGAATAGCTGTTTCCTTCTAGATATTACTGCACTGGCAACATTCATATGTCTAAACTTAATTTCTGTGAAATAAAATTTACCAAAACTGTATTTTCTACTAGAAGTCATATAAGGAACAAATTACTTGGACCACTGACTGACCCAGGGAAAACTTGTAGCTAGCCCTATTTCTCTAATCTACACAAATACAAAATTAGATGTGAAGTAATCAGTGCAAAATTATCTGTGCACTATGCAATCAGTTTTAAACAATATACACGGCACACATAGCAGTGAGCTAAATGGCTTATTATGAACAAGGATGGATTGATTAGGGTCCCTTATTACCATCTCTACGTGTGATGGAATTGGAGATATTTGTTCAATGATATACTAGAGACACAGAATAGACTGGCTTGACCTTTGTCTCTAATCCCCAAGCCTCCTCACTAACTTGCATTAGGATAAACAGTTCTAAATATGATGGTCTCTTTAACACAACCACTTCCCAGATTTCTGCCTTGTGTGTTTTGTTTCCTTCCCTAACACATTTTTTTCCTATTAAGATCTTGTTTTGGAGGATGTGAAAGAGGAAAATATGATGACATGAAGGCTAAGAAAATAATCCAGATCAATTCACTTGTGTTTTCTTACTCTGTAAAACATTAGCAACAAACATCATATTCTGCAGTTCATGTTTTGTATTCACTGTCTCTGTGCTCAGATGATCAAAATAGGGAGTGGAAAGATCTGGAACAACCATGAGCTAAAATCATATCATCCTCCCATTTCCATTTTGTAGATTTGCTGTTTTAATTTTACATTTTAATACGTCTAGTTTGTTATTTTATTTATTTAGTAAAAATGCACCATGCAAAAACCACATTGGACTCTTTAAGGAATATTTTCATCAGAGTTGGAAAAATTATTATGGGTATGTTTTTAATATTCATTTAAAAAGACAATTAAAAGTAATTTAGAGCAATATTTCCACTGTCTAAACATTTTAGAGTAGCAGGTACATAAGACATAGAAGTACCGCTCAAACCCAGCAGGGCTGTAGTATGGTTTACACAACTTCTGCTTTTGCTGTGGAATGCTGCTATGAATAGGAGCTGCCTGATCTCAGACAGTTTCATCATGCTCAGGTCCCTATAATGCTAGAGAGGGCAGAATTGAAATTGCCAAATGTTTGATAATCCCCTCTGTTGGAAAATTTAGATTTTTAAAATATAATTTGAAAATACTGTCATTTAACAGGAAAGCATTTTTACTCAATTATGTAAACCTCAGAGATACTAGGACAGGCAAATATTTTCTGGATATAACCCTGCCAACTTAGGAGACAATAACAATAATTAGCAAGTTTGTGCCAAACTTTAAAACTTTCTGCATAGCAAAGGATACATAGGGTGAAGACACAGACTTAAAAAATGGGATGGCCTTTTAACAGCTATTTATTTAACAGAAGATTTATATAAAGTGGCATGCAGAAATTTAAAAATTCAACACCAAAGGATGAATAATATAATCAATTATTAGGCACAAGACTGAAAAAGAGAGTTCTTGGACTAATTACACATGACCTACAATTATTGAAAACCA